CACACACACACACACACACACACACACACACACACACACACACACACACCGATACTATATGTATACCACTGTTGAAGATAGATTATAAGGTGTAAAAACGGATGAATGTTTAAAATGCACATCCATTTGGTCAAATGCAAAGAAGACGCACTCACCAATCCCAATGAAGACAGCCTTAAATCCTTCCTGTTTCAGGGACGTCAAAGTCATTCCGTCAACACCTAGACCCTTCTCACACACCACCTGGCACACACACACACACACACACCCACACAAAAACAAACAATTATTGTTGTATGTATTTCAGCATTTTATAGTATGGACACTAAAACAATATGTGTGTGTATGATAAGAGTTTCTATGAGTCATACCTTCACACCCAAGTCCTTCATCAGGAGTATTTCAAACTGGACCACCTCATAGGGAAGCCGGAACTGGGGGATTTCTGATGTGCTGCAAGGAGGAAAACACATTTGTTGAATTTTCTTTTTCTGCCTTGTTTGACATTTTCTCATTCTCCTTCTCAACAGTGTCAGTAAGTCTGCCTTGCTTTCTGGTTGTGATTATTTTTAACAGGCCTGCATTCACTCACACAGAGACCCAACACTCCTTCATTAACACCAAACAATTTCCCAAAATTACTGAACATTGAGTTGCCAAGTAACTAAATAGTCAGATGGCCTTGCCACACTTTAGATTTTGCTGAATAAAAGCCACAAGTTTGTTTTTATTTTGCTTTAAATGTGAAATTGAATAAAATGTTTCCAAAATTCACAAAAGCATTTGCTGTATCTAAAGCCCTGCTTTGTACAATTATTTGTAACTCTACTATATATATATATATGTGTGTGTATGTGAATATACAATTTCAACTAATATTATGCTTAACAATCTTTGATATCGTGCAGTATGAAATACAACATGATGATATACACATTACCTCAGCCCTCCAATGTACTTCTGTTTCTCAAATATCGTAATATTATCATATCCAAGACGGGCCAGGAAGGAGGCACAGCTGACTGACGCTGGGCCACAACCAATCAGAGCTATAGGGGCATTGTAAGACTCTGGCATCTCATTGGCTGGTGGGAGTTCAGGATTCCTGATCTGAGGGATGCCCATCTTGCTAAACACCTGGGAAGAAAATAACACACCCCCATATTTAAAATAATGCACTTATCAAGCCCATTAATAGACTGTTCATACCATAACACTGGTATAACTCTCAACACAACATGGCTGACTTTAAAGTAGCCTATATAGCATTTTCTGAACAGTGGCTACTGTGGCCACAATTGGCAATGACGTGATGATGCTTAATTTTAAAACTGTCCTCCCCCATAAGAAAGGTTGTTTGGACAAGCAAATTATTACAAACCCAAAAATGATTTACATATATTGTTAGGCGGTGACCTCTAGTGGGTGTAGTAATTATGATGGCACAAAGGAGGACGTCAGGTGACGTAGTATAAAAAGAGACAAAGTCCGTGTTGGGAGGGAGTCGGTGAGGATGGAGGGGTCAAACAGGACTTTGACCCAGGACATTAGAGGGTTTACTCAACTTGTTGTTAATTTCATAATATATTGTAATGCTTTTACAAGTCAAAAAAGCATCTACTTCATTGCCCATTTATGAGATTTGCCCGTTCCTGAGCATTCAATCACAACTGATAACTGAGCAAAATCCACTCACATCCAATCTATTGATGTGAGATGTGGTTGACTATAATTTAAGATTATTTGATCAAACTATAATTTACAAGGTCAAGAATGAACTTTTACTCTCAAGAATCACATAATCAGCTCACAGACTCAATAATGACAGTTACACAGCAATGACCGGCTAACTTTAGCAAACATTAGCGACTCTAAACTGAGAGCTCATACCACACGCGAGTAAGACCGCATCTGCAAAACACCTGAGTGCGCTGAATTGAGCAATGGTGATATTTATTGCTTATGAATTTAATTTTCATTTAAAATAATTAATGTGTTACTTCGCTTAAAAGTTACGAAGTGTCACTTTAACATTTTTAACATTTGCAAACCAAATGATTATTTTAGTCATAAACTAGCTGCGGAGGGATACGCCTCTATCCTGATTGAACGGTTGCTGTGGTAGCCCCGCCCTAAAGCATCCCCTGCTTTATGGTCTGTTTGACTCTAAATGGTCCATAATGTACTAAATGAACATCATGCTGTATTGAAGAAGACTTGAAACTAGAGATTGAGATAAACTCATGTTTACAATGTTTACTGAGGTAATAAATCAAGAAAGAAGTAGAGTCATTTTCTCATTTTCTTCTATACAACCAGAAGAGTTGTTGAGAGACATTAGAAAGAATGCAGGTTCTGCACTTCACTTTTCAGACTCGGAGGTTACGTCTGCTTCTTTTATACAGGCTATGGTTTTATACAGAAAACTTGACAGCTATAAATGTTGTACCTCGGTAGCAAACTGCTGAAGCCCTCCGATGTTAATGGGCCCCTCCTCAGAAGCAAATAAGTTGCAGCCCCCCACACACAGCTCTGACGTGGGACACACCATTCCACAGGTCAAACCCAGGGGGTTGTCAGAAAGTATGGCCCGCGCTGACCCGTAGTAGTTCTGGTACACACACAGACATGAACGATAAAGATCATGTCATTAGTATTGCTACTTAGAATTCCTCATTCATTGTTTGTTCTTTAGCATCTTCTTTGGAGACGGCATTAAAAGAAGACTTTGTGCATGGATGCGTGACTGTGTTCGTGTGTATATATTTTGCATTACCTTATTAGAGATGCTAGTAATAAATGACTTTATGTCCATGTTAGTGGGGCAGCTCTTCTGACAGGGAGCATCTGCACACTTTAGACACCTAAAGACAGATTTTACTTTGATTTGACAGTTTACTTTGTTTGGAAAAATCTTTGTCACAGAAAGCAGCAAGTATCATGGCAACAATAATGCGAAGTCAGCAACATCCAACAATGTACAAGTCACCAGAAATATCACCAGTCCAAAAAGTAAAACCCTATAAATATGGGCTTGAGAATGAAGTGATGCCTTGATAATTATTATATTACTATTACAGTAATGATATTTAATATGCATTGTCCAAGAGATATAAACTAAATAAATTAAAATAAATACAAAATGTAAGTGGTGGACCAGTCGACAGACCGTCCCTGCAACATCAATGTGTCCTTATCTGCAGTTCCAAACTTATGTGCTATTACTTTCTTGTCCTATAGGTGGAGCAACTTAACAGGTGTAGAATTGGTGTGCCATGCCCAAACAGCTCATCCCTGTAGGATATCATTAGCCTGCTCAATGCGAGTGAGTTTGTGAGGTTGGATGTCAGTTGAAAGTATTTCATTCTCACCTCATTGCTTCCCGTAGAGCTCCGCGCTCGCTCAGCGTTGTGTGTTTGATATCGTCAAAGTTGTTCTCCAACTTCACACAAGACTGAAGAGTGGGCAAAATAGAACGATGAAAAATGATGTCACGGAAACATGGAAAAGAGGAGAAAAAAGAATGTGTGGGTGGGCAGATGTGGAGGAAGAAAAATATTTAATAAATGCTTTGGACTAAAGCAGAGTTGTGTGTGTGTGTGTGTGTGTCTTACATCACAGTTCTTTTCCGGGTTTCTCTTCCAGTGTTTCTTTTCTTTCTTCTTGCTCGCCGTGGACATAACCTGAGTGTGAGTCTTCACCCTTGGATTCAGAGCCAGGATGCTCTGTACCAAATGAAGGGAAATAGATCATCACATCCATAATTATTAGATTCTGACTGACAAAAAGAGAATCTGAATATATTATTAGTCTCTGTGGCACTCTGTGTTTAGAAAAGGTTTTTTGGTGACCCTTTTTTTCTCCTTTTTTTATTTAATTGAGAAACAACAATGTTTGGCATTATCATAACTGTTGGTAAGGATATGTTTATGGATTGTAAAACAAACACAGGACTTTCAACCAGGAGACCGCTGTTTGTGTCCCGTGTGAAACCAAATGATAATGTTAACTTTACGATGACTGCGTAAAATTACGTAACATTATGTAAGAAAGTCTGCTAAGGACGGTTGTCATTTGTTTACGCCAGTTACATTGTTGCGGTTGTTACTTTAACATTTGAACAAAAACCATAATGTCTTTCCTAAACTTAACCAATTGTTTCCCAACATCTGCCCCCGTGTCATTGTGCGCATTGTGTGATATGAGGTTAATTAGAGATGTAATTATGAAACATATTATTGCTTCAGAAACATAGATATTACACTTATCAGTGGTGCAGAAATGTACAATGCCAGCCAGTGCTTTTTCTGGCAACTGGGTTGCATTTCTAAAATTTTAGACGTCTCAATGTTGCTTTCCACCTGTTACTCATAAACCACTACTGTTATCTGTCCTCATATCCCCCCCCCGCCTGCAATTTCTAGGAAGTTTGCTTGTTTGGATGGTTGGGGTCAGAATGATAAGATGCACTGAGCTTATGTCACTATGCTTATGTTCTATGAATACATAAGAGCAGAAATTAAGGTATGATATCCCGTACTGACGTCTTGTTACAACAGGAAATATGTCCAATTAAAAAATCAAGATCCAAATGTTAAATATGATCAGCACATGTTCTACTCTGTTTGAGGCCTTACCTAAAAGCCCTACCAGTCAGATAAGGAGACGGATCTCAACAACTTATTATAATCCATTTCTAACAAAGTTTCTTTCCACTTTTAACCCATTTAGAGGGGGAGTTTGTAATATTTTGTGAAGCTGTTACACTATCTGGCAGTTATGACATTATCGTTTGCTCAACTCATCTCAGTTTCAAACTATTGCCCCATCTCTACACCTACAGTACACACCCATCTGACTTCACCTCACTGTCATACAGCTTGTACAACAGAACACATGGCTTGTTGCATAAAAGCATCCGAAAAGAAACGCAACCAAATCGAAGCTTAAAATTGTGACATTTCATCAAAATCACTTCATTCTACATGTGCCATTAAAAATGTCGCCCCAAATAAACCGTTGCACAAACGTCGGTAAAGATACTGTAAAAAACATTCTATGTACAAATTCCTTACTGCAGCGGCCGGGATTCACACCCGACCCACGGCCCTTTGCCCTCTCCTTCTTCCACTTTTCTGTCTATCTAAATAATTAAATAAATGAATAAAAAACGTTCTGCTAAAATGCCAATATACAGCAACAGTATATTCTATATCCAAAATATATATAAAAAACTACCAGTTGTGCAGCCAAAAAAAGACAAAAAAAATTAAAAAATTAAAAATAAATCTATTCTGCAGCACTTAATAGGCTACAAATAAAGTGCTTTCCTCCTTTATGCAATTATTATATAGTGCAGGCCAACGATTACAATTTTTAATCGCGATTAATCGCATTGTTATGCCAAAGTTCAATAATGAATTCAAAAGTAGTGTATTGCGCACTTTTATTTTAAAAGTACTGCTATATGAACAAAAGGTCAATAACATTTGGTTTGTAAACACTTTAAACAAATCAGGTGCTTTTTAACAGCAGTATTCCCTTTACACAGTAGCGATCATATCTCTTGCACACTATCTGTGCTCAGTGTGTGTGACTGTATGTGAAACGTTCCACTGCTGTGCAACAGGAATAAAATGTTTCAGCACGTTTCAGCAAAAATGTCTTCATGACAGTCAGAGCATGTGAATGCAGCTCTACTGTTCATCAATATAATGCTGTAACTCAGAGGTGATGATGGTTACCCAGCGATCAAAGAATAAAGACACTTTACCCACAATTTAGGTGTATTTTCCCTTTAACTCACGAGATGCAGGTAGCATGTTTTATACTTAATGTGAATATAATTCATACCTTGTTGGCATCTTATTCTGAAAACCGGATGTTCGTCTGAAGAAACCGGATGTTGTCTCACGTTAATCTTTCCGCTAGCTTTCACGGTCCTTCGCTCGCTCCCGATCTGTGCCGTTTGAATACGTTTACCGTGAATTTCAGCATATAGGTGCACTAAAGTGTAAGTGTCTGCTGAATTGATCACGGAGATCTGAGTGTCTGAGGCAATTAAAATTAACAAAATATTGGTGGGGACAATTGTGTCTATCCCAAACTTTGGTCGTGACTAGTCCCTATGGACCTATGCAAACATACGCCCTTGAATTGCTCGGTGAGTTTTCTGCACCGCTGAACGAGAAGCTGGGCAGGTAACAATAGAAGTGCTGTAATGTAATACGTCTCTATTATATATCGGTTGTAGGTCCAGTGTCCAGATACAACTGCGTGTTGGTCCGGATCCGGATATTAGTGACCCGTAGTCTAGTCAAAACAGTCTCTGAGATACTGAGAGAAATGCAAACGTGTCCCCATTCTCCCCTACAATCACACGGCTATTTGCCAGCTATGCAAGTATTAAAGTAGAAGCAACATTACCTTGCCAGTAGCCTAAACAGTTGAGGTAAAACAAGACACAAATACACACACAACAATTTACCTCAATGTCTGGAAGGTCTCTACTCAACATGATGCTTCTGTCTGGGTTTGGGGGACTAAAAGCTTTGTGAAGATCTTCTGGAGATCCTTGTTGCTTTCTGCATCAGAGGTCCGAAGCACTGTTCGGGACTTCTCTGCTCCTTAGTGGATCTGTGTCCGTCCTTATCAGGCCCGCTCCTCTCACCAACAGTTAAGCGTCAAGTTGACCGGTTAAAGCCACAGAATGCCGTCTTTTGTCCAACTAATCTGTTGATAAGGTAGACCGACGGACGTAGCTGATAGGCTCTATCTCTCCGAAGGGGTCGAAGTTCTGCACAGCTGGACGGCGTTCTCTGCCTCTGGACAGATCAAACATTAACCAGTCAACTGCCAGGTCCAAACTCCACCCTCGCATATGCATTTCTTTTAACTTCTTCCTACCGGTCTCAGCATTTCTCCACTTTTCACTTCCTCGTTGTAGGCAAGGAATATATATAGATATATATTATATTATATATATATTTATAATATAATATATTATATAATACACATATTATACATATAAATATATAATATAATATAATACATATATTATCTGTATAATATATGTATTATATAATGTATTATTTATGTATTATATTATATTATATTATCTAATACAGTTAATATAATAAAAAAACATTTTACAAGATTACATTTGATCACATACCATTACGGTAACTAATATACATTCACCCATTACCCATTTCACTGAACAGAGCCTGAACGCATCATAATGTAACTGAATGGAACCTCTGTACATTGTCCGTTAGCACCGGTGCTGCAAAGGTTACTGGTTCTCCTGCCGATTTCAACACTGATTTGTTCACTTTTCGATCAACTATGGTCCGTTACACCGCCTGAACTCAGCCATCATTAATTCTATTGTTTTCACCTGTGCTTTTCCTACTGTGACATGTCAAAATGTCCGCCGGGGAAAAGGCCTATTGAATACAGTATGAATATAAATGTGGGATTTATTCTGTGATTTTATCATAACATAAGTCAAACATGTGTACATCAAGCCACATGCAGTACTGACTGAAATGAGTAAATTATTCAGAATAAGAATTCAGTGGTTCTAAAGGTTGAGGTTAGAACAAATGTAATGTCTGATAACTCTGTAATGACTGGACAAGAAGTGAGAGAGCAGCTGGAAACTACAGAGGAGGCCCAGCAGACAGATGCAACTTAAACCTTTTCTAAGAAACCACAACAGCTGTTACAATTAAGGAGGGAGCTGTCATTGGACAGCTGGATGAATTTCCTCTGCACTGTCTATTCTGGTTAGAAACTTGTTCTGTGAGAAAAGAGGCAGGCTAATCTTAAACAACTTTAATGTGAGGGCTGGTCTGGACTCCTGCACTGGAGGGCCAGGGTCCACTCTGTCAAAGATTGTCAATTTATTCTTTAAGTCCCCGCTGGACCTTTATCAAAAGCAACGCATTGTGAATAAACATTACTAACTCAAACGTAACATTGTTTATTTAACTCTGCAATGGTTCCAATTTACGTCATGTGATGTACTGAACTTACCTACTAACTTTGGTATTTTTTAACCTGGACCCTATCTCCCCATATTTCTGTATCTAAGTGAATATTGGGGACAGCAATTTTATATATATATATTTTTTTTTCATTTTTAAATTGGTCCAGTATTGATAATTAAAAACATTAGAGAAAATATATATATA